TCGATTTTTTTTTTTTTTTCGATTTTTCGATTACCTATTAATAATATTTTCATATCAGTTTATACATACGTGTGCTGTCGTGACGTCATACCGTGACTAATGGATCATTATTCACTAGTGAATAATAGGTATTATTATTCTTAAGGAATTACAAGTATAATGAATGTTTTATAGAACAATCGTGGACAAAAATGTTTGTAGTAAAATAGTCTGTGAGCAAAAATAATAAACACCGCTGGATTTATCTTTAGGTTCGCCAACTGGCCGTGTTAATGCACTTGAGACCGGAGAATCAACCATACGAGGTCGAGAGATACTCAAAAAAATTAATAAAGTAGTCCCAATGGACAAGTAAAAGATATTACCTGCTCAAGGGTGCGTTTAGTGGGTAAATGATAAGCCTGACTTGCACTAATGATCCGGGAGTCCCAAACTATTGGAAAAAGGAGAACCTGTACTCAATCTCTATAAGGGATATCCACATACCAAAAAAAAGATTAAAAAGTTACTTCAATCGAAAACTAATTTGTCCACGACCACTTAATAATAAATCAATATTCTACCTCCTAACTAAAAGCATATGGTACCTATATATCACTATAGTGAATTATGATAATTCACTCTTTTCTAATTCTGGCAAATTCCGGTAGATCACTAAAGATGGGCGATACTTTTCATAACGATATTTTCTAGATCGAAAAATCAGAAATTCGAAAAATTGGAAAATCGGAAAATTGAAAAGTCAAAAAATCGAAAAACCGAAAAACCGAAAACTTGAAAAATCGGAAAATTTAAAATTGAAAAGTTGAAAAAACAACAGTTAGTTACCTATGTTTAATACAAACTTTCCATTATACACTTAACTTTTATTTAATAAAGATACCATAATGGTATAATGGTACAAAGTATAGTATTAGACTCGCCTACGGCTCGGGACGCAAACGTCACCCTGCGTGAATAATGGCTATCATAAATTGCTCGTTTAATAATATACTATTTTGGGCCAGTGTATCTAAAAATATACACAATCAAACACTGAAAAGAATATTCGAGAGACGCTAAAATTTTGGTTCCCACTTTATCGAGACAGATGCCCATAAGGGTAAACTCGTAGCGTAACAAAAACGAGAAATGATTTAACTTGGAACGAAAGCCAATAGTAGTATTAGGACGTTGAATTTTTTGTTTTGGGAAACGTTGGCATTACTTAGGTTTATCCATGTGATGATTTTCACAAGCCTTGATTTTTAAAACCATTCTATATCGCCTTTTGATTAGGGTTTAAAAACTTGTTCGAGCAATTTTTCCAGTAATAATTGGCCCTTTTACGTCTTAAGCCTGCTTATGTAAAATATTTGGGCTCCTTATTTTGCCTATTTATATTCTAATAAGGGACATAAAGGACAGAAGGATGAGTATTGCAACTATGTTAAAAGAAATAAATTGGCTTTCAGTTCAAAATTATGTTCAGTACATGACTGATATTTATTTATAAAATAAAAATGACAGTACCAGATCTATTAGAAAAAATTCAATATAATTCGCAATATCACAACTATAATATAAGAAGCCAATCTGACTTTCATGTACGGCAAGCCATCACTAAAAGTTTCCAAAATATAATTTTTATTAAAGGTTTAAAAAATTTAATTGACTGCCTACAGAAATTAAAAAAAAAAAAAAAACAACAATAAATGTATTCAAAAGTAACCTCAAGAAGTTTACTAATTATTATTTATAATTCGCTGGTTGAATATGTAAACCAACATTATATCCTACCTCTCTTTTATATAATTAAAAATTGCTTTGTATAAGAACATTATAATATCTGTCTTGCTGCACATTTATTTATGGAAAGCCTTAATTGAGATACACTACAAATTATTTGCAATAAATATCAAAAGAAGCATACATTTTTAAATAATTTTACATTTAAGAGCCATTCCCACATCCCAGTTGACATCTTGATACCTGACAGGCAAAGCCAAGCATTATTCAGATTTTTGCCAATTAAAATGGCCGGTTAATTATTGGGGTTGCCAATTAATTTGATGAATGTGTTTTTGTGGCTAGGGGCGAAATAGTAGTACGCTTAAGTTAGCACCACCATAAAAAAGTAATTTTTAAGAAACTGCTTATATATTTTTCATAATTGGCAGGCTTGGCGACTAATTTTGAATAAAAATAGCCTCCAAAATGGCTATAGTTGCAAATATGAAGGTCGCAACCCGCCTTAGAAATTTCACTTTAACTATCAACAGCTGTTGTTTGAAAGGTCGTTAGAGAATGAGAATGATCGGAAACATAAAAAAAGTTTTAAAAATTGGGGTAAGAAAATGTTTTCGGCAATACTGAGACCCCATAGGAAGGGCCTCAGTAATGATTTAAAAATGAAATAAATTATTTTATCAAAACAACTAAAGAAATCACATTGGAATAAAAAAACAATAAAAATCATAGAATTTGAGGGTGTGCTTTGGCGTTAAACGTGTTAAGTTTTTAGGATGTAATAAGGTGCCCAATTCAAAAATGTATTTATATACTTGCTGGATGTTACAAGAATAGCAATTTTCTTGTAGAAATGGTATACTGTGACGTAACAACTGGATGTCACAAGATGCAAGGTTTTTCTGGACGTCACAAAGTGTTGTTAATAAAAATATATACCGTGTATACTTTGGATCTCACAACGATAGGACGTTTTATTTTTTTAAAATGTGTATGGTTGTGATATTTTTCGCTCAGTGATAATATTTTTTAAATTGAAAGAAGTCATATTTTTATTTTTTTCCTAAAGTCTTTGTAAAGGGTGGATGTCACAAAGTCAAAATTTTTGCTGGATGTCACATGATACGCTGGTCGAGTATATGTATATATATATATATATATATATATATATATATATATATATATATATATATATATATATATATATATATATATATATATATATATATATATATATATATATATATATATATATATATATATATATATATATATATTTTTTAATAGAAACACAAATACATGGAAAATATATGAGAAAATGCAAATATTGCTACCCAATAAAAGCAGTAATACCAATTTACTGGATAGGAATACAGTACAAGCTCGGTAAAATGAACACAAAAAATCCTGACGCTTTCATATTACGGAAACTGTTCATACTAATGAAGGTTTCAAAAATATTAAAAAACAGTCAAACTGCATATAGTTTTTATTTTAAGAATACATTTATTTCAAATCTCTTGCAGAAAAATATGAAGTTATTTTGGATTGTTTTTGATTAACAGACAGATTGACTAAGACAGCTTTTTCATGAATTTTTTTTAGAGTTATGACTTCACTTATATTTGATGCGTTCTGTTGAGCCCATTTTATTGCAATATCTAGAGCTTTAACTGCTTCACAATGTGCTACTCTAGTCTCCGAGTCTGGGAGGATCTCACAATCACTTCCTTCAGATTCATTATCATCGTTACACTCATCTACTTGATCACTGTCTTCAGTTGAAACTGTATCTTTGTTCCATTCCTCTACGTCTTGAGGAGTGTATTCAACCTGTAATTTTAAAAATAAACAGAACATTTACATATATTCGGAAAACCACTGTACATAAGTTAATCTAGACATTTGAATTTAAACCTTACAGGCTCTATTGCTTGAAGCAGGGCGATTGTGTCCTCAAGAGCAATGTCAACAACCCTATTTTGATTTAGTCTTTGTTGTAAAACAAAGAGTGGTAAGTCGTCTTCATCCAGTTGTCCTTGATCAGTTTCTGCATGACCTTTACCATAATATTATGCCAACATTTAGAGATACCATCAGGACTTAATTTATCCCCTGCCGCTGCTAAATGTATAATTGCGTCCCTTAATGTAATTTTCTTAAGGGCGATTCCGACTGGATCGTCCCCAGCCACAATGCAACTAAGTAAACTATTTCTATAATAAAGTTTGGTGAGTGAGTACATTTTGGTCCATGGGTTGAATCAGAGGCGTTACATTTGGCGGCATGAACATCACAAAAATATTTCCATCATTAGTTCTCAATTCTTCAGCCGGTGGATGAGACGGTGCGTTGTCCAGAAGTAACATCGCTTTTTCTGGAAGTTTTTGAATTTTCAAAAAACTCTTAACCGGAAATCAACAGCTAGTCAGATTGTGCACCTATGTGAATGGTAGTTCAATCTTACCTCAGGAACAAACTGCTGGAAAAACCAGTTTTTGAACAATTCGCCTGTCATCCATGCATTTTTACTGTTTCTATAAACGAGGGGATTGTTGAAGTTCTTGAAGCATCTGGGATTTTTTTCCTATGACTAATGGTTTGATTTTGTGTAAGCCTGAAGCATTTGTACAACCCAAAAACGTGATTGATTGTTTAGCAAGCTTCATTCCAGGGGCTGTTTTTTCAGCTAAAGCAACATAGGTTTTAGCAATTGCCAGTATAAGCCAGTTTCGTCAGCGTTGTACAGCTGGTGCTCATTTAAATTGTGTTTTTGAATCACTCTCCTTAATCTTGCTTTAAATGGGTCGATGAGTTCGGGCTGGATCGAAACTTTTTCTCCACTTATCTTCAATAATCTTACTCCGTCTATAAAGTCGCATCTTCAATTCCGGCAATTCAGCCTTTTTTAATGTGCATTTTTGGGTTGGTTTTAAGGTATTGCTAACCCTTTCAAGAATTTGATCCCTTTTGTTTTTAATAAGACAAACTGTGGACTTAACAATGTCATATTTCTTCGCTAGTACGGTAACGTTCAAACCTTTATTAGCGTCTTCTAGAATTTGTGCGTTTTTCGAAAGAGACAAACAATTCGATTTTCCCTTCACTTTAACCATTTCAAGTTCAATGTTTCTCAACTTCACGCTAACTAAAGTTTACTTTTTTCTCGTATCTCCAGTAGGCCTAATCCACATGCAATTCACTATTCCAAAATTTAGGTCATTCTACTTTGCTTCGCTGTTCTTGATGAACTAGTTGTTCATTGTCTTTAGTTCCAAAAACGTCACAGACCGAAATTTCTTCCACATCATCCTCGATGGGATGCATGCTTCACAGCATCAGTATATAAAAGTGAATTTAATATTGCATCGCTACCACCTACAGAAGAAGCAGCAGCAGCACGACAACATTCGTTCCGAACCTATCTCCAGGTTGAGCAGTGGTAAAGAAATGAACAAAATACAGAGCAATGGGGATGGAAAGAAACAAGAAGAACAGACTAATTCCTGTCATCACATTCGAGCCCTCGGCTACGGAAAGCTTATTAAAATGTATTTCTTGCACATGCAAAAAGAAATATCAGAAAGTCTGTGGATGCAGAAAGGCAGGGTTAAACTGCTCCGTTATATGCACGAATTGTAGTAGTACCTGTGGTAACTCGCAAGTTCCATTACAAGATAGCGATAAAAAGGAAGAAACTGAGACAATTTCGAGCAAACGTATGATGAAATCGAGAACGAAGAGGATTGCTATTGAAATGATAATCCCATTGTGGATGATATGAAAGAAATTTCATTCTGTGACGTTTCGATCGGTACTAAAAACAATGAACTCTCAACACCTGGTCCATCAAGAACAACAAAGTGAAGGAGAATGTACTAAATTTTGGAATAGTGAATTGCATGTTGATTAGGTCTACTGGGGATACTATGATAAAAAAAACGCGTCACTTACTCTACCTCAAAGTGGTGTGGAAATATGATTTTTTTTTTGGACAAAAAAAAAGGGTTGAACTACACTTTGCGGCGCTTGTACGCCAAACCTATTGAACTTGCAAAAAAGTTATTACATAAATTGTAGGAAATTTTCTCTAGTTTTATTTTGTATATAAACGTTTTTATCTTGAAATGGGCCCGAAAGAAAATATTGTCAAAAAACTGCTATTGGCTCCATTTTTCCAATATGGCGGTGCAAGGGGCAAAGATACGAGGTGGCAAAGTTGAAATTCGGAAAGAGCACATCGAAATCCATAAAATTACCGATTTCCAAAACTCCCGGATAACTTTCCAGGTAAAACTACCAAATAACTGTTGGTCTGAGATCCGAAGTAAGGTCGACCTTCACCCATCCGTTTAATGGATGAAAGTTTCTTTTTATTAAATAAAATGTTTATAAATATACCGCAAATGGGTTGTCTAAGAAAATACGGTCCATACAATTTATTTTCTTAAAGTAAATAAAACGACACCCTGTAAAGTATTCCCCAGATGCTTCGATTATGCCCAAATTTTAATCAGCTTACCGCAGGATGGATTAAAGCTTAAGTTTAAAATTTGGTGTTTTTCTCTTCGACCGTTTTTGAGTTATTTTCAAAATTCGAAATTTGCACTTTTCCTCAAATATCTCGAATTAGGTCCATTTAAGCCTTGGTTTCTTTAAACACTCCGTCGTGGTGAGCGGACAGTTCGTCGATCGCTGAGGACAGCGATTTTTGCCCGAGGTGATTTGTTAAGTATAGAAAATGAGACCTTATCTATGTCTGTACGTGCTGTTTATGTATTATGAATGTAAACGAAATGGACACAAATAAATTGTTTGCGTTGTTATTATTGTTGGAAGAGGAAGAATAAGGGGAACTGGCAATTGCAACCGTCAAAGTTTCCAATAAACCAGTGGATAAGTTGTTTTTGTGTCGCGATACAGAAGGTGCCTTTAATATCGCTGTGCAGCGAGGGCTTTTTAGAAATTAAACCAAATTTAGGGAGTATTTTAGAATTTCTATAGATCTTTTTGAATTCGTGTTGAGTTTTATAAAGGACGACATTTCCAAGAAACCTACAAATAAAGTCAAAGTCATCTGTATGTGTCAATTTGTCACTCATTGTTTTAAAAATAATAACAATATAATTATTTGTATTCACAAACTGTCTCCGCACACGCCGACGATTCCGCTGATATCAAACTCAATAGATATGAACCGACTAGTCGCGACGGTCGACGGACTGTCCGCTCACCGACGGATTGTTCAAAGAAACCAAGGCTTTAGGGAAATCATGTATAGGGACAAAATAATTGAGAATGACATTATAAGCAACTTTTATTATGATTCCTATACTTTCCTTATCTGCATACAGAAAGGAAAGTAAAAAATAGCCGTGACCGTATTTTTTTAGGCAACCTCATTTGCGGTTTAAAAACATTTTATCCATTAAACAGATGGGTGAAGGTCGACCTTACAGATCCTGGACTATGTACTATCATTCTTAAAATATACTTAATTTATTTTCATATATAATGTTTCCCGCCCAAATAAACAGGTCATTTATCATCAAATTTATATAGAATAATAATTCTTGTTTCGACTTTTATTTTTTATATACGTAAGTTGGGTACATATGGAAAACTTTTTTGGTTATTTGTCATGTATACGTAAGTTAGATTTTTGGTTTTAATTTTTAGACGTCTTATATAATATTTAATTATCTAGATGATTGTTTTTTTTCTTTTAAATGAATATAATATATATGTAATTTTTCTTTACTAAAATTGAATTAATAAATGGCGAAGCTACCTGGATGTGGTAGGTCACATTACTTTCCAAAGAGTTGGATCGGTAAAAATGGACCAGTTGTGTGGCCACCGATATTAAAGTAGTTTATTTTATTTACTTGTGTATAAAATTTTTGATTTTTTTTTATTTTTTGTCAAACAAATTTTTACTGAATCAAAAAATACAACGCATAAATTGAAACTAGCATTAGCAATCATAGATTGGGAAGCAGTATAACTTAAAAATTACAATGTAAAAAGTCATCCAATTGGAGAAAATTGATAAAAAAAAAACAATTATTGGCTGGAGGCCCCGGTATTACTTATTAGTCAGTCCTGAGACCATACATAAGGAATTAATCACATCTTAAGATCACAGAATAAATTTAATCATTAAATACATTTTTTTTTCTTAACTCATTGGAGCGAACAATTTTAACGTTTTATCTATTTTATTTTGTAAAAGTCTTAAATGTAGATGAATTTAACACACAATCAAAGAATCACACTTTTGAGTTTATTTGTGGGATATTTAAATTATTTTTAAACCTCCTAATTAAGTTATCTATCTCAAGAAGTATCAAGTTTGAAATCATTCTGTAAATGTAAATATATCAAGAATATATTTCTATTCGTATAGTGTGTGACACATTTAATTCTTCATAAACTAAAGTTCTCATTCTGAAATTGCGACCTTTGTTCACAGAGTGCAGTATTATTTTGTTTACCGCTTCCACTAAAAAAAAATGAAAGTGCTTCACAAATTCCAGGGATTTCTTTTTGAAAATAGACTTTTCCATTAGCATCCAAAATATTTTCCAGTAATTATTTTACCCTGTTAACCCTAAGGGATTACATGTTTTTGTATTGTTTATATAAACAATAACATACATGTATATAGAATTTAAAATTATGCTTTTTAACTAACAATCTTTATGCAATAGAAGTACTATTTAGCATGCCACTGTTAAACAAAAAAAATTTGGATACACTACTATTATATTTTGTGGATTTTATTATTATTAAATAAAAAATAATTATTGGAAAATAAACGTGGAATCTTCTGATGCTAATAGATAATTTCATTTATAAGCTCCCTACCACGAGAATCGCATTAAAAAAAAATGTTTAACACAATTTTCGGAAAATGGAAATCAAGAAGTGCGAATTTTGCTCTGGTAAGTATGTAGCTTACATGTTCAATGTTTAAGGATTAAAAAATAAGAATAGAAATAAATTATTGCACTCCGTGTCTTTTCATAATTATTGGTACTAGTTAGACTTCAAACTAGTAGAACTCCGCTTCTATTTCACCGCTCGACCCAAACATAGACATTAAACATTTTAAATGTAAAAAATACGACTTTCTTGTCGATTTTTTTATTTTCATGACAATCACAGTACAAACATTTTGTTGGCAAATTATTTTAGTAAAATTTTGAACTTGAAAGATTGGGTGAGAGATATATAAAAACTGCCTTTTACATTTTTTTCTACGCCCATGCCAGTAAACGTTAAAAATAGCATTATCAACATTCCTTGTAAATGACATTTGACAATAACATACATGTAATGAGATCTCATAACATACACGTGCGTTTTGATAAGAAAACTTGTCCTTGGTTTAATCAAATTGCAATCAAATTTTTGTCTACGTACGACTTTATTTGGTCTATTTACATAAATTTAGTCATTTAAAAAACATAAAAACTTTAAGTATTGGCGATACAAGCATAACGTTAAATCCTTTTTTGAGAATGTTTTAAGTGGGCGTGGAAAAAGTATAGTAGTTACACAAGTTGTAAGCCCATTACGCACTCGTGGAATTTACGCACTCGCCTCTGCGGGCTTCGTGCGTAAACTTTTTCACTTCGTGCGTAATGTGTTACAACTCTTGTTACGTAATATACTATTCAATTTTTATAAGTTATTATCAAAAACTAATATCCACTTAAAAGAAAAACTAATTTGAAGGTTACATAACGTCCTGGTAACGTTTTAAGTCATATTTTGAAAAGTTTTCAGGAGGAATCATCAAATTGATGCATTTGACAGCTGATACGGAAAGTGTATTCATATTCACACACGGGCGGAAAGTAGATTCTTATCCACACGACATTTCCACTAAGACTAAATACTGCGACATGTGTCACTTTCCTAAACGATCGTAAGAAAAACTATTTACAGTATTGTTGTATTCTATTTCCGAATACTAGATAAACAGACATAAAATTACTATCTATTCATATATTATTTCATTCATGTTTATTTAGTTTGCTCTCGCAATGTTTAATTTCACAAAAGCTTCGTAAACTTATGGACATAATAAGCAGCAATTACAATTAATATTTTAAATATTAAAATTTTCATTTTGTAACTTTTAAATTATAAATCAGATCAATATTGTTAATCTAAGTTGCAAGTAATTTGTCAATTATAAATTGAAATAGTAAAAAATACAATTCATTAAAATTTTCTTATTTCGTTCAAGGCTAGATCTTTTCTATAAAAGGAGTAAAGAAAGTGTAGTGGTGTAACACGCACGGAGTGTTGATTTTATATTCCTATGATTTGCAGCATGATCATTAAGCGTGGGAAGTGAGTATACCATTTGGTGTCTGTTAAACAATAATTTAACCATTTTATTTATGTTTAAATGAGAACTAAGAATCCAAAATTACCATTATCTGGTACATATTTATTTAAATAAACTAATATCAGTGGCATATATTCAAACATTATTTTCGATAATAATGAGTTACTAATTTTTTATTAATTTTGTTTTAAAATTACATGTTGGCGAAACCGAGCCTGTTCAAGGTCTTTAGTGCGTAGAGCCCGGCCAAGATGAGATTGGTACAGCCACGTGCTCC